GTGCTGTCCCTCTGTGCAAGGACACCAATAGCAAGGGCTACTCATCTTGGTGTCCCCAGCAGGCCCCACCCAGTGTCCTGTTGAATGAGTGGGTGAACAGAGGGCCCCTCTAAAGCTGGTACCCCCAGGCCGCTTGCTGGAGAACTGCTGACTTGCACTGCCCTGGAGGCAGACCCACAGCCACAGACCCAGAGCAGGCCAGCCTGCAACACCCGCTACCACCCCCCCCCCCACCGTGGTCAGCGACACCCCTGCTCCAACCCAGGCTCCCAGCTCAGCCTGCAGGCCAGAGCAAGGCCAGACAGGAGGAGGTCCTGGCTCGCTGCAGCAGGGGCACCTGCAGTGCTCGACCTCCCCACCCTGAGGAAGGCCGTCCTGAGTCCTCCCTTTGGCCTCCCTGGGGCACGACTGGACCTGCACCTGCAGCCCTCAGCTCTGCAGCTGCGACACAGTCGTGGGTTTGATGGTCTTCCAGGGGGACATCGTGGGGCCTAGGGAGGCACTGTTGCCTGCTGGCCCTGTGAGTGCGCACTGGCCACTGTGCTCCAGCAGGCCTTCATCTCCCTGTGGACGTGGCCTTAGCCTCCTGTGGAGTCTCACCTTTTCTGCATGCCTGCCTGCCATTCAGTTTCCCAAACTGAGCAGCTCTTGACACTCCTCTCCTCCTGGCCGAATCCTGTCCCCAGAGAGACCTTGGCACATGGGCTGGCCCCAGCATTGCGTGGTGGTCCCCAGAGAGGCTGAGCCCCAAATCTCACATCTGAGTGCAGCGAGCCTGAGAGGCCTGAGATGGCCGTGTCCTCCCTGACCTCAGGACTGTTACTCCTTCCACCTGCTCTAGACCGGGACACGGCAGCAGGTGCTGAGTCTCAGGATCAATCCTCTACTTTGGCTCTTAAAACCGCACCCCTCTCTGATATCCAGCACTCTTCTTGCTTCTTTCACTTCCCGGGGGGTTTGTTCAGCCCATCCACTGACTTAAATCTTTTAAAATCTTTGCCACATCTTTGCTCCACCTCCAAGAGCTCTCCCTGGGAGTCGAGCACCTGTTTGGGGAGCAGCTTGCTGTGTTTCGTGGTGCAGTGTCTTCTTTATTGCTGGAGGATTTGGAAAGCTGGATTGTAATTTTTACTTGTCTTCAGTGAGGTCTGTTTCCCAGCTCACTGTCCACCTGGTCTGCAAGGCCTCTCCTTCACATGGGTCACTCAGAAGGCCTGCAGCCTCATCCTGGCAGCTGAGAGGACAGGAGGGGTGAGAAAGCTCCTGGCACGTCCCAGACAGGCTGGCCCTCATCTCTTCTCGGGATTCACAAAGGCAGCCCCTGGCCACCGTCACCTATGATGCCAGGCTGTTCCATTCTCTAGAGAGGAACCCAACAACCTTCCGGAGGCCTGTGGAGCCAGTGGACCAAGTGGTGCCAGTAAATGGGCTGGATCTCACTTGAGCCCAGGCCTCCAGCTCTCAGTCCCACTGTTCCTAGTTTGTGTTCCTGTGTGTTTTGGGTTCTGTGAAACAAATCATCTGGGATCCTGTTGGCATTTGTCTCTGTAGGCCCTTAACACTGCATCTGCAGGTGGCTTTTATTTTGCAAAACCACATGGCCTTGACTGTGTCAGGATTCAGGCTCAGCTGCTAGGCCCAAGGTCCAGCTCCCAGGACTGGAGAGTAGACTCTCCTACAGCCTGCTACTCTGTATCCTCAATCAGGCTTTCACTGGGGCCCATGATGGCTGCCCAGCTCCTGCACTCATGCTTGCATTCTGCCTAGGGGAAGGGAAGGCCAAGGCTCAGGGAGAGTGAACACAGCTGTCTCACCCTGCTGGCCAGAGTGGTGACGTGTGGGAGAAGGAGGGAATGGGCCTTTTGTGAGGCGCCTGTGCCCAGCCTAAAGCTTAGGGTTCTATCAGGGCAGAGGGCAGGGCAGCCTCCTCTCCTGGCACCTGGTCTGACCTGGGGAAGCCGGCAAGAGCCACCTGGGGGCTGCTTCCTTCCAACATTTCCTTCTGTCACCTCAAGATGACGGAGACAGGGCCCACAGATGGGCTTTGGGGACAGGGAGCAGGGACTTCCTGTCTGGACGGTGCGGTGGCAGCCTAGCACCAGCCTGACGTAGAGGGGGCTCAGGACACTGTCAGGCTTGGGTGCCCCGGAGACCAGGCTGGGCCCGTGGTGAGCAAGGTGGGGACGGGCGCCCGGTGCTCGCGGGGAGGGCCGCAGTTTCCTTGGCCACACAGGCAGAAAAGGGCCTCCCCGTCGCTGTGCCGTGCCCGCAGGTCACTAGCTCAGCATGGGCGGCGCCCCCGGCAGCGCTGCGTGGGACGAGGTTAAAAGTCAAAGCATCTGGAGGGGCTTGGGGGCAGGTCTGCTCAGGAGGCTCCCAAGAAGTGCCTGGACCCCGTGAGCATCAGGCTTTCCCTTACAGACGCTGGGCACATGGTCACTGGCAAGCCCCCTTGGCTGCAGTGCCCCCCCGGCCAGCCCTAGGCCAGAGCCTCCACAGGCACCCCACAGGTGTGTGGAGTGGACAGTTGCCATCCAGGGCTGTGGCTGCTGCTGGCGGACACCTCCTGCTGCACCATCAGGTCCCAGCACACCCAGGCTCACCGTGCAGTGGGTGACCCAGGGCGATCCTGGAACACCCCCCACATTTCTGAAAGGACACATCATCCCCACCGTGCTGGGGGCCCGTGCTCAGCAGACCCAGTGTGCGCACACTCACAGAGTCCAGGTCCTGGGTGGCGGTCCTCGGCTCCGGCAGTGGCGCTACGCCTCTGGAGCTGCAGCGTGCCCGCACTGGCCGCTCCTGATGCTTCACTAGCTCCTCCAGGCTGGCACCGCCACTGGAACACAGGGCACCACAGAGCTTGGCCTGGGCACGGAGTCCTGGACTCCCTCTACCCAGACAGCTTCCTTTCTTCTCCAGGCCATGTGTGGTCCCTGGCTCTCTGTCCCCTCCTGCAGGGACTGTCCCTGCCTGGGCCCCCCCAGCTCCAAAGCCACAGGACAGTCCTCTGTTGCACACCGCCACACCATGTGAGCACACATAGGAGAGTAGCACGTCTTGTTTTGCTGGATCTTTAAACAGAGCCGTGGGAAGTCCTACCAAGCAGGGGTTTTAAAAAGACCTCTTTCTATCAGCACCGAACGCAGAGCCTTGAGGCTCCCATTCCTGATGGTCAGTACAAGGACTTGGGATGGCAGAAGAGGCCCAGGGTCTGTTGCTAACTGTGGGCCTCCTGTCCCTCAGCCTCAGCCCCTTGCTCTGTGACACCATGCTGTCCCTAAGCTGTCCCAAGGGTGCAGCCTGAGGTTCCCACTCTCCCCTCTCCCTGGTTGGCCCCACATGTCCCCATATCTTCTCTGCTTTCCTGAGCTCCAGATGGTTGCCCAGATGGCCTGGCCCCTGGAGAGAGATGCCTGGCCACCACATAGCCAGACTCAGATCCTACAATTGCTCGGTGGCCTCCCACTGTGGCCTCCTGACCCAGCGGTTCCTTCCTGGGGTCGCTGCTCCTCCGCCTGAATTAGCACCGGCCTCCCAGCCCCACGGCCATCAGTCTCCTACAGCTGAGGCCCAAGGGTCAGCCCAAGAAGCCAGGGCTGCAGAGTGAGTTAGAGCTTAGGCCTGTAAGGAGTGGGACAAACAGGGCGGCAGCGAGGCAGTAGTCTCCGCAAGGGCCTGGAGCCTCAGTCCTGGGGTGGCTGGGCTGTGGCTGCCTGCAGGAGGTCCCTGGGAGCGGCAGCACGGTGGTCCGCTCCCCCCACACCCCTGGTGGGCTGAGCCACAGCCTCAGCTGAGGAGCAGACAGCCCAGAGGGCCAAGGACAGCTGCTGTCACCAACCTGATTTCACTTGTGTGTGATGTCCTCTCTTTGCTGAGTCTCCTTCTTCCAGATGGACTGGGTGGGGCTTTCCCACTGTCCACCAGATCCATGGCAATTGGGTACTTGGATGCCATCTAGGGAAACGCAACAAGATGCTCTCAGGCACCTGAGAAGACGCTGCTCCTGGCACCTGGCCTGCTGTCCAAAGCGGGTGTTGTTTACACGTGGTCACCATCCTGACCTTGGGTGGAATCACCCCACCGTGGATGTGGGTTTGGACAGCTTTTGGAGGTTTCCTGGACGGCCCAGGGTGTGCAGAGAAAGGTGTGGCTCGAGGGACCCAGGGTGGCCCCTGAGCCTGCCGAGGCTGGCCCCTGTCGCCCTGAGATCCTGTCACCTGAGAGAACATGATGCTCGCTGCCCAAAACGGGCCCCAGGCTTCCACACAGAAGCTTAGGCAGAGCCACCTGTGCCCAGGAGGCAAGGCCGCCAGCCGAGCACATGGACCAACGGGCCTGCCTGGCTGGGGGGCTGTCCTCACTGCACTGGGGAGCACTGGGCTAGGCCCAAACACCCCACAGCCCCTGCTGTCCACGGGCTTTCAGGGGCAGTCCCCAGTCCAGGGCTGCTTCGCTGGATCAGACCGACTTCTGATTTTACTGGACTTGGGAGATGGCAGGGAAGCAGAATGTGGAGAGGGGCACAGTGACCATGCAGGGGTGGCCCAGCTAGGGCAGAGACCAACAGGCTGTCTGTAAACCAAGAGACCAGCTGGACCAGGGAAACGACTCCTGTGTACGGCCACAAAGGTCCACACCACCACTGGACCACGCTCCCTCTTCCTGACACACCACTCAGACTTCAGGTCACCTGGGCTTTCTCACCCTGCTCTGGTCAGTAGGAAAACGCCCGACTCCCTGTCCACTGCCCTGGCCCACCTCTCCTCCCACACACCACCCCTGGAAGCTGGCTGGACTCCTGGCGGGCGCTGGCCCCTCCCACTCCCACCAGCAGGCACACTGGGCCACACTGGTTTCCCGAGACTCCACACCTCCAGTCCTGCTCCGCTCCCTGCCCGCCGTCTGTGCCCTCACCTCTGCTTCTCTCGGCTGTAGCCCAACAGGCCCAGCTTCCTCTTGGCTTCTGTAACCTGCGCTGTGCTGGTCCCTGCCCACATCCTGCACTGCAGCCGCCAGCTCACTGCCAGGACCAGGGGACGGTGTCTCTACACAGGGGTCCCAAGCTGCTCCTGTAGCGTCAGCGCCGGAGCTGGGGGCTTGGGGGCCTCCATACTCAGGAGTACAACCTGGACACCAGGGGTGGACACACCAAGGGTGCTGCTCACTATGGCCTCCAGTGGAGCCTGATGGGGGACCTCTGGGTCTGTGTGTGCAGGAGCGTGTGTGCCTGCAGGCACGAGTGTGTCTGCTGTGGTGTGTCTGTGCGGCTGCCAGGACTGGAGGGCTGACAGAGCAGTGGGTAGTGAGTGTGAGGATGGGAGGGTGAACTTCCTGCCAGGGGCTCCGCAGCTGCAGTCAGGCAGGACCGACTGAGGCCTGTCCCCCCGTCTGAGTGGACCGCCAGAGCCAGGACCTGGTCTGTCTGCATGGAACACCCCAGACGAGCACGGTGTGCACACAGCAGCCTTGGCCTTGGGCTGGGGACCGGCACAGGCCCACTTGCTAGGAGTGTCTCACAGGTGACTCCAACAGACAGATGACAAAGCTCCATTCAGGAGGTTTTTTTTCCTTCTGAAGTCAGAAATTTAATTTTTTAAAATATTAAAAGCATTTGGAAAAAAAAAGCCACCGAGGCACATTCCACGAACATGGAAGAATATTTACAAAGTATCCGACTCTCTGAGGAAGACCTGAGTGGGGAAGACCTGAGTGGGAAACTCGGGGCCAAGGTGTGGGCCTGCCAGTGGCCGCCAAGGCCCCTTTCACACGGGAGTGTGGGGGGCACTGGTGCTGAGGCAGCCACCTTAAAAAACAGAAAGGAAGGCTCTGGGCAGAGCCAGGATCCAGGAGCACCTGCCAGCTGCCGAGGTCCTCCCTGCAGCCACCACAGCAGGCCCCTGCCTGTCACGCCTGCACAGGCCGCACACTTGGGACCCCTGAGGGGGAGGAGCACCACTCCCGCTGACTGCCCAGGATCCAGGGAGCAGCTGCAGGCCACGTGCAGGGTCCTGGCGCCCTCTCGCGTCCTCCGGCCGACTGCAGGAGCAGGCACAGGCTGGGAGGCTGTCTTCGCCCTGCTGCGCAGACCTCGGGTGCAGCCAGCTCCTGGTCACAGGCAGCAGGGCCGGGCTTACTCAGGCGGACTCGCCTCATGACCCGACTGCTTTTACTTCGGCATGATGGACTCCTGGACATTTTCAAAAACACTTGTTCTTAACTTGGAGAGATATTTTCCCGGTTGGGCTTTCTGGTAATCCCAGTAACTTGGGAGGCTGAGGCAAAGGGACTATAAGTTCAAGGCCAGCCTTAGTAACTTAGAACCTGTCTCAAAATTTAAAAAATTCAAAAGGACTGGGGGTCAGCTCAGTGGTAGAGCACGTGCCCTGGATGCAGTCCCTAGCACAACAATGAACTGTTTCACTCCCTCAAGATGTTGGCAGGGGCTGGGGATGTGGCTCAAGCGGTAGCGCGCTCGCCTGGCATGCGTGCGGCCCGGGTTCGATCCTCAGCACCACATACCAACAAAGATGTTGTGTCCGCCGAGAACTAAAAAATAAATATTAAAAAAAAAAAAAAGATGTTGGCAGCTGCTGTACGGTGACGGCAGCCCCTGCCTGAGCCCCCCCCCCGTCCTGCCGCAGACCGTGGATATCCTGAGCGACACTCAGGCTCATGAGCAGCTGTTTCTGTGTGTGCACGTGTAGCTGGGGACCTCCACCCACTCTTCTCTTGGGGTCTTTGATTGTTAAAATCTTCACATAGTAGATACTGACACCTTGTCACAAACATTGTCATCTCTGGACTTGATTATAGTATTCGGGGCCATACAAAACTTTTTTCCAGTATCTGGGTGGGCACAGGTCTGGGAGGGGCACAATGTCCACACGCTAAGGTTCAGGATTTGTGGGAAAGCCAGTAGTCACAGCCACCTGCCCCAGGCCTGCTGCTTCCCGGCACGCTACGCCCCTGACCTGCTGTGCCACCACCGTCTCATTTGTCTCTGTGCTGCTGCAGCAGGAGATGGGGGCACAGCGCGTGTCCTGGCTCCTGCTGTCTGAATCAGTCTATCGCTGATGAGATTCTATAGAACCCACTCTTCCCTTCTTCAAGATCAAAGCTGCACACTCAGGCCTGGCCAGGGCCCTGGAAGTGTTGTTCCTCCTCCACTACCAGCCACGCTCTAACAGGATCTGTGCACGTTCTGCAATCGTGTTGGTTTAACTTATAGCCATTTTGGTGGGTTTTTTGTGGGGGGTATACTGGGGGTTGAACCCAGGGGCACTCTACCTCTAAGCTACATCCTGCCCCTTTCATTTTTTATTTTGAGACGGGGTCTTGTTAGGTTGCTCAGGATGAGCTGGAACTTGGGATCCTCCTGCCTCAGCCTCCTGAGTCACCAGGATGACAGGTATGTGCCACTACACCTGGCTTACCTTGTCTTCAAGATATCTTCAAGTCAGTAGATAACAGATCTAACTCAACGTTTTTGACGCTATGCTGATAACCCATAGTTTGGATGTAACCATTTCTTTAGTCATATCTACCTACTGACATTTAAGTTATTTTCAATTTTTTTCTATAATCAAGCTCTGAAAGCATTCTTAAGGGTGTGTCATTGTGTGTGTGTTTCCTAGAAGCAATGTAATATATATCTAAAATTTTAATATGTCAGGAAATAAAGAACATGTTGTCTATCCACACATTCAGTGTGTGGAAATGGGCACGAATGCTGAGCAGGACAGGCAGCCACACAGTGACAGCTGCAGTGGCCTCAGCACTCTGCCACAATAGAGGAAGATGTGGGGTTTCAGGCTGGGACACCTTTGAGCCCCCAGGCAGATAGTGCTTCACGGGCATCTTGAAGCCAAACGCTGATTCTGCTCCTGAGAAAGATCTCTAGGGTAGGACATGCCTCTGACTTGAAGCAACAGGTTCTGTTTGAAGGGAGGACCCAAAGCATCTTGAACGGCAGGCAGTCCCACTATGTGGCCACCTCTCCATCTAGAGTGTGAGCAGGCCAGGCTTGGAGTTGGCCTAGCTGTCATGGTGTGCCAGGCCAGGTGCAGGCAGCCCGTACCATCAGGCAGGACCCAGGACCCCAACCACAGCAGAGCCCCAAAGGCCCTACTGTGGTCAGTGGTGCCGACCCACTGACATTGCAGCAGGGTAAAGGGTGAGCAGAAGTCAACCCAGAGATTCCCAGGGTCATCAGCAGCAGGCCAGATGCTGCAGACAAGCCCTGCCAGCTGCAGCCACAGCCATAGGTACGTGCAAGGCTCCAGGTCTCCCGGAGGTGAGGCCAGGTCAGCTACAGAGGGGAGGACCTTGAGACTACAGGGAAAGACAGACACCACCTTGACCAGGCGACAGGGGCCAGGCCAGCCACCAGTGCTGCACCCAGGAAGACACAGGCCACTCCTGAGGTCCTGCCCCCAGTGGAAAACCTGGGGCTCCCGGGGAGAAGTGCAGGTAAGTCCTGGCCAAGTGCTTGCACAGTGACTGGTCAGCACTACAGAGGCGACAAGGTCACAAAGGTCACAGGAAGACTGACCACCGCCCTCTCCTGGAGGTCCCTGGGGGATGTGAGGACAGTGAGCCACGGGTCACCTGAGCAGAACAGGGTGACCCATCGGTGGAGAAGCTGGTGAGACGTGGTCTTTGTCTGGGCCCTGGTGCAGCACCTGCGTGGACATCAGTCCCCAGCCCTGCTCTGAGGTCACATGGGATGTCAACACCAGCTGGGTGAGGAGCGTGCGAGACTCTGGTGCTGCTTTGCAACCTTCCTGTGAGTCGGAAACCAGTGTGATGTGAAATCAAGAAGCTGGCCGCACAGCACTGCAGCTGCTGCTGAGGTGCAGGCGAAGGCCTTGGGGACCTCCCGGGGTGGTGCTGGGCACCACACAGGCACCTGGCTTCTCGGGATCATGCAACAAACAGCTCTTCAAGAAGTGACAAGAGAGCCGGGTGGCCCAGTGGAGCAGCACACCTGCGGTCGGCTCACAGCAGAGCACCAGACGAGGCCGGGAGGAGAGGCCGGCTCCTAGCACCCTCCTGTCACCTGCACCTCAAGTGGTTTGGGGATATGGGAACAGGAGCTACACCCACAGCACTTATGCCACCCAGCCTGAGAGCTGGCAACCCCAGGGCCAAGGACAAGGTCACTGAGGCCACCGCTTCCCGGCCTCTGAGGCAGAGATGAGAGTAAGGGTCCCAGGAAGACACCTGAAAACACGTGGAACCTGGTGGTGTTTATTTCCATTTCCCCTTTTCCCCTTAACCCCTATCTCCCTTCCCTCTGCAAGCACCTGACCCACTGGACAGATCTTACAGGGCAGCAGCTAAGAGGGTGTCCCAGAGGCCAGGCCAAAGGATGGCCAGCTCCACCCGGCAGTCTCACACCCCAACTGTGCGGGACCACATGCAGCCCCACCTGCCCTGCAGGGCTGGCCCAGGCGGAGGTGCCCTGCCCGCCCTGCCCACCACACTGTGCCTACCATGCTCCTCTGCAGGGGCAGCAGCTGACTGAGCGTCTCCTGCCTCTTCCTCATCACCTGGGCCTGCTCCCTCCACTCCTGCAGGGCTCTCTTTTCTCTGGAGAAAACACGTTGTGGTATCAATGTCACAAGCCACAGGCAGCTTCAAGCAGTGCTCACAAAGATTTCTGTCTTTTTAGCTGCATACAAACAGCCTTCTCTTCCTGTCTGCCTGTCCCCAAGGGGAAGCACAGGGGCCCATGGGCCCTCCAGGAAGGGCCCAGCCAGAGCCACAGGGTCTGCCAGCAGCCTTCAGGCCTTGCCTGTGAAGGTTCCAAAGACCACCCACTCACAAGCAGACTTCCCACTAGGTGGCTTTCTCTAGAACCTGAGTGCCTCCAGTCTCCCCCGGCCTCGGGCACAGTGCCTACTCCCTGGGCAGGGCCATGCCCAGGGGCTGTGAGCTCTCTCCAGCAAGGCCATCCAGAGTCTGCAGCTGGGCTTTGGCTCCTTAAGGAGTGCAGAATTTCTAAGTTGTCCCCTGTGGCTGGGGATGGGATGGGGCGGCTGAGAGCCCTCGCCTGGCCGAGGGCTGATCCACCCTGCAGCCTCCCCTGGAGCCCCAAGGTGCACCTTCCCGTCTATTGGCAGTTCCTGGTTGGCTCTCCTCCACCTCATGCCCCAGACTGGCCTCTCGTCTCCTCCTGACCCTCTGCCCACCACAGCGGCCCTGCGGCATCAAGCCTGGCTGCAGCCTCCCCAGGCCTTCTACCCTTGGGGCGCAGGTCTGCGTGTCTCTTGGCACCTCCTCCTGGGTGACGATAGGCTCTGCCACCTGCCTAGATGGACCCTGGACCAGCCCAGTGTGCTGGCAATACCCCCACCTCCTCCCATCTCCTAGCCAAGGGACTCCAGGCAGTGTCTGTGCCTCTCAGTCACACCTGTTTGCCCCTTGGGAAACAAGGGGGTGACCTCCCTCCATGGGTGGCGTGATGGAGCCTAACCACATGCTGGCCTCTGGGAGCTGCTCAGCAAGGAGGCCCACAGGTCTTGGGCTCCAGGCAGGGCATCAAGGGTCTGACCTGCTTCTGCCTTCAAGGTATTTTTTTTTCTAGAAAAGCATGAGTTGCTCCTGGAGGACAGCCAGGTGCAGGGGTCTGAGTACTGGGTGGGGCCTGCCAACCACCGCAGAAGCTGGGCTCCTCTTGGCTGCAGACAGAAACGCATCCCTGTGGGCAGCTTCAGCAGGCTTTGAAGGGGAGCGAGCAGGAACCCAGGGGCAGTGCAGGTACCTGGGCTTGCCTGGGCCAGGTCATCCCAAGGCCCACGAGCACACCAGGGATGGAGTGGCCAGCCTGGGGAGAGGCTGGAGAGGCCAGGGAGACAGAAAGTCTGCCCTTTCTCTCCCTGTCTCCCTAAGCACCTGCTGGGCGCCCTCACTGGTGAACCTGAGCACAAGGCAAGGAGCACAGGGGCTGTGGACACAGTCCATGCCAGCCGGTCTCCTGGGTCCTGAAGCAGGGTGCTACTGGGTGGTCAGCAGCACTGATGGGCAGAGCAGGGCAGAAACTGAGGACAGGGCCTCGTGGTCTGCCAACAGCAAGCCAGCCACCGTGAGCCAGGGGCATGGGACGAGAGTAAACTCATCCATACTGGGTCTAAATGCCCTTCCTCAGAAAAGGATGTTGGGTCAGTGATGGACAGGGAGGAGGAAGGGACCAAGAAAGAGTAAGGAATTAGGGAGATACCCGAAGGCAGGCAGTGTGGTGAGAAGGCAAGCAGGGGACTGGGCCAAGAATGGCCACCGTGCCCACACCTGGGCCAGCCCCATGAGGAGGCATCGAGGAGCTGTGAATCGAGAGCCAGGCACTTCAGAGTGCTGCAGCATGGCCAGGGAGGAGGAAGCAGGCCAGGCCTCCTCGGCTGCCGCCCTCAGTCCTGCGCAGTCCACACACCCAACAGCAGTAGGGGGCCTCGCCGGCACCGCAGACACACCTTTTCCGCTGCTCCACCAGAGCCTGCTTCTCCCGGAGGTCCCTGAGGGCCAAGACCCGACTCTCCTCCAGTCTTCTCACTCGAGCCACTGTCTGGTACAGGGACGATTGGTATGGCAACGAGAGGTCGGGTAACATGCTCTTGAAGGAGGTAGTCTTCCTCCTAAAACACAAAGTGCACTCCACTGCACTCCCTGCACCCACGCAGACAGCATTGCGAACTCGACTCAAAGTCCAAGAGCAGGGCCTGCCAATCGGCTGCCTCGGGAGACATGATAGCTACCAACCGTGGTCACCAGAGCCACAGCAGGGACCTGTGCTCATCTCAGCAGTCACCAGGATGGTGGACTGCAGCAGGACACTGTGCCCAATGACCACCACGCAATGCCAGCGACTGAAGCAGAAATCACAGGAGACATCCCCAGACCACCCTCAGAAGTGCTGCAGCGTCAGCATGTGACTGAGTCGAGGCACAGGCTTGTGCGGCCTCAGCCCACGCTGCCAAGCACATGCCCAGCTGGAGCTGGGATCTACACGGGACAAGCTTGCCACGACTTACTTGGAAAAGCGTCATTATCATTCCTAACAGCAGGGGAAGGAGGGAGGGAGCAGCGGGCTACACTGCTGTCCCCAGGGACGGAGAACTCCCTAAGAGCTTGGGCCTCCTAGGCCTTGCTGTGGCTGGAAACCCACGGCACACTGCCAAGGTCACTGTCTGTCAGAGGGCTCAAGGTCCCTACACCTTGACAATGTTCCACCTCCAGGACAGAGAAGAATCAGTGCCCCCATCGTTAGTCCCCTCCCATGCAGCCCACACCTCTCCACCTATCCCCCACAGGTGCACTGTGCATCTGCTCATGGGGTGGCTCTGGAGGGCCACAGATACCTGTCACGTTCCCACCTCTAAGATCCAGTCATGTCCCCTTGGATGTGATGAGATGCTCCGGGGGACACCTCATCTAGGTTCAGTTGTTATTCTGACACATTTTTCCTCTATACATGTATCCATATGTGCATACAGACATACACATGTCCACACACCACCTGTGTCTGGTCTATCTCCTCTGTGACCTCACATATCCACACATGCACACAGGTGCACACACACACACACACCGTCCGTGTCTGGTCTGTCTCCTCTGTAACCTCAAATATCCACACATGCACACATGTGCACACACACACACACTCCACCTGTGTCTGGTCTATCTCCTCTGTGACCTCACATATCCATACATGCACATAGGTGCACACACACACACACCACCTTTGTCTGGTCTGTCTCTTCTGTGACCTCACATATCCACACATGCACACAGGTAAACACACACACAAACCACCTGTGTCTGGTCTGTCTCCTCTGTGATCTCACATATCCACACATGCACACAGGTGCACACACACACACACCACCTGTGTCTGGTCTATTTCCTCTGTGACCTCACATATCCACACATGCACACAGGTAAACACACACACACACACACACCACCTGTGTCTGGTCTGTCTCCTCTGTGACCTCAC